TAATCATCAACTGAAAGCGCTGGGTCACCGACCCAGGACCATGACACAATATGAGTTCTAAGCATCCCAGAAAGGACACAGAAAGTCATAAAGTCAAACATAACTTTTAAAAACACCAGTATAGGCTCATAAGTTAAAAATTATTGCGCTAGCTTACGTGGTTGCAGAGCTACCGGGATTTAAAAATAGTTACGCAAAACAGAGCGTGCCCGCTCCTACCGGCTTTAAAGGGTTAACCAAAAACGTGCTTTTATTGTGGATGACAATGTTCAGAACACAAACTTAACAAAATTCAAAAAAGCACTGGATAAAAAAAGACACCAACACAGTAACATGCAACAAACAAATGCAAAATTACACAAGGTAATGAGGGAAGTGGAAACAGGAGGGAAACTAAACACAGCTGAACACAATAAAGGTGAACAGACAGGAAATCAGACCTCAATCACGATTTTGTTCTTAAGTATTTTTATTCATCTTTAGGCATGAAAAAAATAAGATTTTTGAACTTTATTTTTTTTAAAAAACTTTTGAAAAGTGTATTTTTACATGTCCACTTAGGTGGATAACGTCACCTTTGGAGTGGGTGGCAAGGTATGGACTGACACATCTGTGTCCAATGTAGTGGTGTGTGCAAGTATACCATCAATACTGACACAAATACAAGAAAACAGCCTTTGAATAGCTGTTCACTGTAGTGACCACTATGCGTGAAAGGGGTTAAAGTAATAAGTGATAATCAATCATTCAGCAAGTTCAATTCAGACCTTGGAAAAGTGTCACACAAAAACGTCTGAGTTTGGAGTTTAACTGGAGACAAAATGTTTGATACTGTATTGTATTAACCAAAAACATTTGAGCAGGCTGTGGCTGCATGCAGGAAAACAGCGTGAAGTCCGATATTTGAGAAAACAAACATCTGTCTTGTAGGTTTTCTTCATTTTTTTCCAGTTAAACTTAATCAGAACACTGAAACTATAAGTTGGCCATGATGTTTGCACACAGTACTAAGTTATTTTACTGTAAACATTCTCTTCCTCTTATTTATGGTAAATCAGATAGTTGTGTCAAATGCTGCTGCATTAACAAAACAGGAAACATGACACACTGTGTATCAGAAAACAACATGGTTAACTGAGGTAACCACACGTTAAGTTATCACATAATCTTAAATAAGCACAGAAGTAGAGGTAGCCCCTCCCTTTCTTTTGTGTTTCATCTTTGTTGGACTAAATTTGATCAGATAGAGAGAAAATTTACTCATATGCCAAAACACTCAGTGCAAAATAACTTCCTGTTAACTTTGAAAGGTTGGGAGTTCAGCTTGAATAACAACTTTGGTTTCCTTTGTTTTCAGCATCACTGAGGTCATTTAAGACCTTGATGATGCTGACTTGCTGCACCCATCTGTTCCATCTCTGTCTGTCTGTTTTCGTTGTGTTCCCACTAGTGCTGTCAGCGTTAATCTCGTTGAAATGACGTCAATGCAAATCTCCGTTAACGAGCTACCGCG